TATAAAGCTAAATTGGGGAAATGTGCTTTTGTATCCTTGTTTATCTAACTTTGAAAATACTGCCATGAGTGACCACTGCCTCTTGATATCCTGTTCAACACTCCTTATATACAAAGACGTAATTTCAAAGGAAAATTACTTCCTTGATAGTCCCCACATCCCTTCAAAAGTCATTTCCTCCAAAGAAAATTCAGGTGATGGGATCCCTTAATTGGTTAAAGTTTTTCCCAGTATCCTCCAGGGTTGAAGAAAAACAGCACAACTGTCTTCCTATACAAATTATCATCCTATGCAAATTACTGGGCCCAGAGACCCAGATCCAAAACAAACTCTGACTGAGTATAAAGGAATAAATGTTTTACCAGGCCAGCTCTCAGAAGTGAAAATTTTTGTGTAGAGATGAGAGTCGCTTCATACAACATCAGAGCGTTTGAAGGTTATAGTTCTCCTGCCTACCAAGGATATCTGATTAGAAGCATTTTAAACTTTGCCTTACTGAAGTTAAAGACTCTTTAATAAATTGTATCTTTAACAAGAATAAGAACAAATAATCATATTACATGAACCAATAGAGAATGATAAAACAGTCCTATAAGAAATGACTTTCTAGTGGAATCAGAATTCATAGGCAAACCTTTTCATGCGGCAGACTTTTTTGAATGCTACCCCTGATTTCATTCCAATAGTATCCACAGCTGAGAAATATATTTTAAAGATATAGCATGATATCAAGTTACTTTAATAGTTTGCAAAATGCTGTCAAGAATTACCTAAAAATATGCAGTTTCTATGATACTGTAGATTAGTTCATCTAAAATTGTTTGATCTTCAATTAAAAACATAAACAGTCTTGGATATATTTGGACACAGATGTTGCCAGAGTTTCCAGATTTCATTGTTCAAAGGTATTTCATAAATATGACAAAATGTGTTGAGATGGCGTCCATCTGATTGGGTATTCAGGCTTACAAAGAAAGTAATTACAGGGGCAGAGCCTGGGAGTCAGCCCTCATTCATCTCAATTCTCTTTCACATAACAGCATAGCTTGACCTTGATTTTTTTAGATGCAAGTAAAGGACATTGATGTAATTCAAATAAATTAGTTTTTTTCAAATATCCTGAGGAGTCTGGAATCAGACATGACAGACTTGATGGACAAAAGCCTGAAGGAGAACCAACTCTGAAGTAATCATAGTGGTTCTAAAAGCTGTGTCTTTCCTTCTTATTGACCTAAATTTTCATCTTCTTTCTAGGGAACATTTGCTTGCCAGGTCCTTGGAAAAAGTCCGCATGCTGGCTTCTTCTCTCCCTTCCTTCTCTTTTGCGTTTGCATCTTCCATTGAGATTCCTACCAGGGAATGTGGCTGCCACCACGGCGGCCTCTGGTCAGCTGAAGTGACCTTCAACCTTCCTTGCCTTTCTCTGAGGGCAGGGGTCTTGCTTCTTCTATTAACAAAGCACTTTCGGTCAACTTTTAGGTTTCTTCATGGTTGATTAAACTGTGTTTATTTAGGACCCTTCTCTTTCTGTGTCCAGCTGCTGACCTTTCTGCTGGTTCGTTGTCAGAGGAGAACGCTCACAGGGCAGTCTATCTGACTGCTTGTTAGCAGCTTTGGTAAAGATTCTGTCCTGGAAAATGTTTAGGCTGTTGAAATATCAGTGCATCTTCAAAACATATGACGTTTTGCCTGGATGGTGTTCAGAGTTGCTGTTACAGCTGTGAGCTGTAAGTGCTAGCATCTCCCTTGAACCTGGGCATGTTGATCATCTTGGCATGAAGCTCTAGAAGGCTTCACTTGGTATGTTGCGTGTGGTTTTTTTTTTTTTTTTTTTGAGACATCTTACTGTGTCACCCAGGCTGCAGTGCAGTGGCACAATCATGATTCACTGCAGCCTTGAACTCCTGAGCTCAAGGGACCCTCCCAGCTCAGCCTCCCGTGCAGCTGGGCCTATAGGCACATGCTGCCACACCCGCCAGTGTTTGTTTTCCTTTTTTTTTTTTTAGAAACGAGGGTTTCATTATGTTGCCCAAGCTGGTGTTGAACATTTGGCCTCAAGCAGTCTTCCAGCCTCAGCCTCCCAAAGTGCTGCTATTACAGGCGCAAGCCACCAGTCTTGAGGTTCTTAATAAGAGTAGATGGACATGGTTTTGTTGCTTGGAAATGGGAAGAAGAGAGAAAATGAGGCACACAGAGTTTTGTGGAGTTGCTAAAAGATAATAAGCCGGGACAAACATCTTAAGCCAGAACCCCATTTTTGGAGATTCTTATCTGTAGGACCATGAACACCCCTGCTGCCACTCTGCCCTAGGTTCTCAGGCAGGCTCAGCTTCCCAGTGGCCCCACACTCTGAGGCCAAATGCCAGGACACATGCAGGCATCAGTTCTTTCTGTAAGCACTGTGACCAGTACTTGCTGTACCTCTCCAAATGGTATTTTTGTGTTTTGCTTATTTGTGTATGAATCTTATCATGCTGGCTTGATTGCAAGTGCTTGGAATGTGAGAAATGTACCTCTGCATGCCCAGAAGGATGTGGTACATATTTTAGTGAAAGCAAATGGATAAACGGAGGTGCAGATGAATGCTGTCCCAGTCCTTCTTTTTAATGCCACCTGCTCACCTGGATAATATACCCTCCCCATTCCTCACACTGTGCTCAGCTCCTAGCTTCTGCAGTTGGTTTGGGCTTTTTCTGTAGTTTGGTTATTTGTCCTTCTCACCTTTATATCTCTGCCTAGTCATTGTTACCCATCTTAGTTGATAAACTCTTAGGGTACTGAGGTTCCACTTAACTCCCTTTGCCTACCACTTGACAAAAACACAGTGCATGACTAGACACTTAATGGGCTTCAGAAGATGATCCTTACAATCAGAGAAGTGAATTACTGGAGCTGATCACCTGTTCTTTCAGAATGAAGTTTGAATGGTCCAGGACTTTGTGAAATTCTCAGTCACCGTTGCCCCCTTCCTCAACCTCGAATCTTCCCCATATATGTTTTGTTTAGCTGCAGGCTAAACTAAAAATAATATTTTCTTCTTCTTAGAAAATAAGATCAGAAGACTGCCTCTAAAGGCCAGGTTTCTCAACAGCAGCACGTTGACATCGTGAGTTGGATAATTCTGTGGTGGGGGTTGTCTTGTCTGTTGCTGGACATTTAGCAGCATTCCTTGTCTCTACACATAGATGCCAGTAGCATCCCCCATTTGTGGTAACTGACACCAGTTTTAGACATTGCCAGAAGTCCCTAGTGTGGGGTGGGAAAGCAAAGTCCCTGGCTGAGAGCCACTGCTTTAAGGAATGAAGGTGAAAGAGGGAAGCCATGGAGGGAAGGAAATGATGGCCGTAACTAGGCATTTCTTCTGCTCTTTGGAGGTTTTTGTTTTTTTTTTTTTTAAAAATGAAACCAGTAGCATTCTGCTCTGACAGTGGGGAGAGGAGAATCTTCCAAATGCATTTAAATTATACAGCATTTAACCACTTTGCCCTTTCCCCCCTTTTAAGGGCTACTTTTTTCATCATTACCACGAGGCCGGGCCTGCTTTCTGCGGTTTGAGCCCACTTTGTTCTAGGAATAGCTTTCTGGAAGCGCGCACACTGACTTGCTAGGAGAGGCTGCAGCGGGGCTTCTTGCTGCCCCAGGGCCTGGACACTGCCTCATGAGGATGCTGTGTTTAGGACTCCTCCACTTTGCTGATCTAGGAACTAGAGTTTTTTCCTTTTCCCTGTGAATTAGTAAGCCACTGGGAGCAATAATTCACCAAAACTGGAGTCACCAGACACTGGGCTACACACCAGACTATTACAGTATGGCTTTAAAATGCATATCCCCCAGCCCTCACCCAGAGTTGGAACATGGGCAAGCAGCATGAAATGTGGCGGAGAGTGCACACAGGGCCCCAGGCCAGTGGGCCCCAGCCTTGGCCCAGGTGTCTGGCCCTTTCTTTCTCAACCACCAAGGGGATGACCTTTGTAGCATGGAGAGGGTGGGGCAGGGAGAAAGCTGGGATTTAAAAGAAGAGTGAGAGCTTAAAGATGTGCACGATCTTTAGAAAGAATTTGCAGTGTCTGCTTCAGGGAATCTTAGCGTCCTGAGGCACAGTGCCAGTTGTTCCCAGTAGACACCTTTCCAGAGTGGCCTTCAGTTATCAGGACGACCGAGGAACTGCGTTAGCTGTGGCAGAGGTGGAGTCAGGACAGAGGGTGCTGGGTGATCTCAGGAGCTATTCCTGCCAGGCTGTGGGAAAGCCTGGTGAAAATGCTCTGCTTCTGTGTGGAGCTCATCTCCCTAGAGATGGGCACAGTCACTTCTGCCCTGAGAGGGGGCTGCTCTCTGGCTGAAGGAGGCTGTGCCTCCGTGGCAGGTTCTGGTTCTGCAGATTCCCCGGCCTTTCCTCCCTTGTAGACCTCCCTTCTCTGAGATCACACTCTGTTATCACATGCACTTTCAATTAATTAATTAGTTTATTTATTATTATTTTTTAGACAGAGTCTCACTCTGTCACCCAGGCTGGAGTACAGTGGTGCAATCTTGGCTCACTGCAACCTCCGCCTCCTGGATTCAATAGATTCTCCTGCTTCAGCCTCCTGAGTATCTGGGATTACAGGCGCATGCTACCATGCCAGGCTATTTTTTTTCTTTTCTTTTTTTCTTCTTCTTCTTCTTCTTTTTTTTTTTTTTTTTTGTACTTTCAGTAGAGATGGGGTTTCACTACATTGGCCAAGCTGGTCTGGAACTCCTAACTTCAAGTGATCCACCCATCTCAGCCTCCCAGAGTGCTGGAATTATAGGCGTGAGCCACCAAACCTGGCCCATATGCCTTTTCAAAATTTGTTTGTTTGTTTTTTTAATTTCAGGGGTCGGGTCACCTGCATTTGCTAACAGAGTGAACGACCTGCATTCTGGGCCTGTTAGCGCACAGCTTTTAGAACTGTATTGGCTGGACCTGCTTTTGTGTCATAAACCAAGTGTGGCAATAAGCTAACCACACAGAGAGGCCCTTTTCTCCACTTGAGTCATTCTCACTCCCATTGCTGGGCCTTTGTCAGACAGTCCTTTGTCACTTTTGAAAATGTTATTTCTTAGGAAATAAAAGCACAGTATGGCCATGGTTAGTTTTGCTGGTAAGTTCTATTACTTGACACACATTTCCTGTAATAGAAAAATACGAATCTGATCAGTGTGTTAGGAGGTCTATTACTACCACAACTATTATCTTTGTCCCTGAACACCATGGTCCTGTACTTCAGAAGCATGTTCTTCTAAAGCGATCATGTTGGGGAAACAGGACACACTGTGCTTATCTAATGCTGATTTCCTTTACAAAAGGAAAAGAGGAGAATGAAATGAAGCCGTGCAGTTCCAGCAGAGCTCTCTGCAAGTATTTTTTCCATATGGGTGTGTTTCATCACTGATTCTGGTCAGGGATGTTCAGATTTTCTGTTTACATTTAATTTGCATTGCTTTTTGTTCAGCCCTGTCTACATCAACATTCTTTACACTCATTTAAGTTAATTGTGCCTCCTTAAAAGATGTCTCCAATCCTCAGTGCTTTGAAACTTGGTAGAAGCATCTTCTGAGGACAAGAAAAGATGCAGGTCAGGGATTTGGCAATGGGGTTTTAAACCTCAAGCATCAGCAGGGAACAGCTTTCTGGATCAGCAATTCTACTCATAAACTTTTGGGAAACGTTTTTATATTAAGTGGTGGTGTAATAATGGAGTCGAGTGCTCAAAGTGCATGACTTTTAAAAATAATGTTCAATGCTTCAGAAATGTTTAATGCTTATAACAGGTGCCATAACTGATCCCCTCAGACTCCTGAAGTGGGTAGAATTATGAGTCAAATTGTGTCCCCCCAGAATATGCTGAAGGATTAATCCTATCTCTCAGTACTTCAGAATGTGAACGTATTTGGGAATAGGGTGATTGCAGTTGCAATTAGTTAAGTTCACATGAGGTCACACGGGACGAGGGTAAGCTCTAGTCCAACATGGCTGGTGCCCTGATGAAAAGGGGATATTTGGACACAGCCATGCACACAGGGAGAACACTGTGGGAAAATGGAGGCAGAGACCAGGGTGCTGCTTCTACCCAACAAAGAATGCCAAAGGTTGCCAGAAAACCACCAGGTAAGAGGCCTGGAACAGATCCTTCTCTCACTGCCCCTAACTTCAGACTTTTGGCCTCCAGAACTGTGAGACAATCAATTTCTCTTGTTTTAAGGTACCCAGTTTGTGGTACTTTGTGATGACAGTGCTAACAAACTAATAAATGTGGCCATTCTCTTCTTTTACTGAGGATGCTTCATTGACAGAGCTTGAGGAACACTGAGCTTGGTCATGGAAAAGAGCTCAATTTTGGAGTCCAGAGACCGAGCTTTGGATTCTGGCTATGTCATGTATCCTTGGGCATAAATCCAAATGTCCCATTGTGAGCATAAGCAGGAAGGTCCGTGTAGTAACACCAAGAATGGAACCTCACAACCTGACGGGTTCTCAATGAATGCTATTCTCATCTTGTCTTTCCCTTCTGAGCATTTGTCTAAGAGATGAAAAGCTCAGCCTGCAGAAGTAAAGTGTCTTGTCAGTTACACCATGAGCCACTGAAAGGCTGGATATCAAGTCCAGGCCACCTGATGCCACACCTGCTCTGTGGTTACCCTTGATGTAGTCTTTGGTGATCCTCATGTCCCCCTTATAAAAATTCCCCACATACTGTCTCCTATAAAGAATTATAGAGGAGAATCCCTAGGCCTCCCATGCTGTTTCTACTATTAAGTGAAATGCGCCTGCTCCTGAAAGGTTCTTGCACTACCCAAAAAGCCTTTGTAACAAAATAAGTGCCCCAATATCATTCTTAGTTTTTACATATTCTTGATATGTAATTGTTAGCATGAGCTAATTATGGGTGCATGGAAACTTCTATTTTATTAAAAGGCATTTTGCAATGTTCCTTATGGGAAAAATGGTTTTGCATCTTTTAAGAAGGAACCCATTGGAGTCAGAGGGCTGATGGAGGTTGTGAAAACTGCAGAGGCCTGTCCTGCAGGAACACAACCTGGGTGCACGGTAATGAGGCATGATAAACAAGGGATTCAAGCAAAGCCACTGGTGGGGACTAACTCCAGATGCTAGGTGGCATGCACGCATTATGTCTTTCTAACAGAATAAAGCCATGGAGGAGAAATCAATTTGCAGATTCAGGAATGTTGCCTGAGTTATGCTCCAGTATTGATAAAGATCAAGGGCTGGGAGTTCAGCCTGCATGAATCCTGCATACCCTGAGAAAGTCAGACGCACTCTGGAAAGAGCTACAGGTCCCCATCTCCGAAACATACCCCAGTACACCTCTCTACAAAATGTTTCAAACGACTGCCAGGGGTTCAGCCCCTCTCCCAGGCTCCCAACTCACTCTTAGGTCCCTGAACTCCAGATTAAAAACCATCTACATTTCCCTTATTGACCTCCCTCAAAAAACAAAAACAAAACAAAAACAAAAAAAGAAAAGAAAAAGAAAACAAACCTATGTGCTAGCTTAAAGGACATTTTATGACTTTTATTTAGTGACAGAGGCAACTAAGAAAAAAAAATCATGTGGCCTGGAGCAAAGAATAATCATCGATAAAGTAGCATTGGTGGGCGAAACTTGAAACCATGGTTTATTGAATGAAAAGAACTCTCAGAGTCTGGAGGCCCTGGCTGGGTTTTAGGCTCTATCAAACGTGTGTAAGCATGAGTGAACTTCTCTCAGCCTCAGTTTCTCTATGAATGTCTGCAGAAGTCACAGCACCCACCTCGCAGCTGCCTGTGAGTAATAAATAACACTGCAGATCTCAAATCACCACGTGAGTTGTCAATGACTAGAAAGTGGTATTATTCATATGAAAAATAAACAGTGACAAAAACACTTCAGCACTTATGTTTTTAGAACTTGGTTCTAAACTTTGAGAATTTTAGTGCACTCTAATAAAAAATATATTTCATGAAAAAAACAAGACAATGAAAGATTTGGTCCTATTCTATCCATGTTTGAATTTTTATATCTAGAGGGAAACCCTAACTAGAAATTGCAAACCAGCCCACAAGTGTGTTGTTTCATCTGCAGGGTGTTAAGCAAGCTTTGCTTTGTTTTTTAAATCAATTGCCTACATTTAAAACTAGAAGATTTTCCTATTAAACAAACCCTGAGCCAGGTGTGGTGTTGCACACCTGCAGTCTCAGCCATTTGGGAAGCTGAGGTGGGAGGATCATTTGAGCCTAGGAGTTCTAGGTGGCAGTGAGCCATGATCACACCACTGCACTCCAGCCTGGGTGACAGAGTGAGATCTTGTCTCAAAAACAAAAAACACCCCAAACCAAAACAAAAACTCTGGGTTTTCAGTTTCTTTCAGAAAAATAAAAGCAGAATTCATAGCACAACTGGTTGGTATTTTCTACAGCCCTCTGTGCCCACTCCTGGGCTGTTTGCTACCCTGGGCCAGCCACAGAGAAGGTACCTCCTGGTGTCACTTTCCCAACAGGAGGCCTAGAGTTTCAGGTAGCTCGCTCCCTCCTTCCTTCTCGCTCGCTTTCTTTCTTTCTTTTCTCTCTCTCTCTCTCTCTCTCACCATCAACAAGGCTGGAGTGCAGTGGTGTGATCTCAGTTCACTGCAACCTCCACCTCCCAGGTTCGAGTGATTTATATTTCAGCCACCCAAGTAGCTGGGATTACAGGAGTGCACCACCACACCTGGCTAATTTTTGTATTTTTAGTAGAGATGGGGTTTCACCATGTTGGTCAGGCTGGTCTTGAATTCCTGGCCTCAACTGATTTGCCTGCCTTGGCCTCCCAAAGTGGTGGGATTATAGGCATGAGCCACCGTACCTGGTCTCAAGTAGCATCTTTCTAAAAAAAATTAAACTTGTAAGGAGACAGCCAATGCTTGAGACCAAACATGGGGTGTGTTATCCCTTGCCCCTCGGCTTTGTTTTACCCTCAGGTAAGCCTCCTTGGCCCAGATGTAGGTGAACAGTGCCTGGATGGAGGGAGCCTCTTTCTTGTAAAATGAGCGCAAGATCCTGTGAGGATTAAATCAGATGACATATATAACATCTTGCAAGAGTCAACATTCAGGAAATGGTAGTTCAGAGCAGGGGTGTCCCAGACCACTGAGGGCCTCACAAGATTCTGGAAAGTAATCTGTAGCTCCAACTCGAAGGAGTAATGGTCACAGCACCACATCTGTTTGCCAGGGTCAGCTTGGGGAATAAGGTACCACCTGAGACCACAGTTTCAGAGAACAAGGACATAGGCCAGGGACTAGAGCCCAAAGTGTGAACCAACCTTAAGTGCTAACGCGGATGCCTTTTGCCTTTGGCAAATCACCCTTATGTAACCACGAGTGTTAGAATGTCCGGGGAAATGTCCTGAGCAGAGCTGTGTCTGTTTTAACAAGGCCATGTGTAGCAGAGTCGTGTACCTGAATTTGTTCCAAAGAAGACATTACCAGTGATAGTCTGGTGCATTGGCCCCAAGGGCTCACTTCCAGAACAAATACACATCCAACTTCCTACAGAGAGCCCATGGCCAGAGGCCTGCAAACTTAAGGAGGCCTGGGCTTCTTTGGGGTAGGAGGGAAGCAGTTGCCAGGCACTGCTATGAACCTGACTAGCATTATCGTCAAGAAAATCACCAGTCCCCAGAAGCCATGCCAGAAGTGACCTCACTGCTTTCTTCTCCCTGCCAAGGATTCCACCCAAGCCTGTTTTATAGGAAGTTGCCTTTCTTTTGAGCAGAAGGGGACCATCCCTGTACTGAGCAAAAGGTGAGTAAATGATTACTGGCAGCCATAAAAGGATCTCATGAAACATTTCTGTGATCCCAAAAAGGACCTGATTTTTATACATTTGCCTTTTTAGTTCATTTTGTAAGTACAAGGCCGTTAAAGCCATTTAATGATGCCAGGGCTAAGGTTCACTTTAGGAAATGGGGTATCCAAGGATTTGAGATTTCCCCACACTGTTTCTTTCTCCATCTCATGAGCTGACAAAAGCAACTCTGAGCCACATACCAAGGGACTTGTACTGAGAAAATAATGCATATTTATTTGCTATTATAAACTAAGGTGGTCTTCACAAAGAAAACCAGGGCTTCTTCCTGGGTGGGCCCTGCCCTGGAGTGGGGCAGATGATGTGGCAATGAGTCCCACACTGGGGATGTTGAGAGCAAAAGGGTGAATTTTTGATAGGAAACATGAGGTCATCTAAGTTAGAGCTGTAACTGAGGCAGAGATTCTGAGCCAGGGTGGGAGAGTCCACAGGCTGCCCAGAGTCAGGGAAGTCTGGACTGGAGCACATCTTGGTGGTCACTGACGGTCAGGATCCCCAAGGAGAAACTCTGACTGCCTTCACCCGAGGCAAGCTTTTTTTCTGTTGAAAGCCTGAATTTCCTAAGGTGGCTCCAGTCTCCAAAGATTCCCTGGACAGATGTTCTCTCCTGATGAACTTTGTCCTCTGACTTTCAACAGTCGTAACTGTTCCGCACATCTGCTTCTAGGAGATTTCACTGGCTGGGTCTCTCAGAATAGAGATGAGAATCTGTCCCCTAATAAATCTTGAGCTTGGATGGCTTCCTACTGCCCTTTAGGCCTGTATTCCTCTATCCCCCAAGACTACCCCCTTATCTCTGGGCAGTTGAGTCTAGACAATAGTTACTCTCCCACCTCCAAATCTGGAGTACTGCACCCTTTAGCAAATGCATCAGGTTTAAAAATCTTGACACTTAAAATAGGCTTACTCTCTGTCTAAAATGTGTAGATGTTTAATTGTCCCATCTGTGGAATGGTGATGCTCAATAGCTTATCCGGGTGGACCAGACAAAACTGAACTTGAGCATTTCTGAAGATCTCTTCCACCTCTGTGATGGAAGAGATCATATCTCCATGATTCTGAGATATTTTCAAATATATGCACTAAAAATGAGTTTTTCTAAAACCAAATTGTGATTCATGTGAATTACTAATGACTGAACCAACTACAGCAGTTTATTTAGTTCTGGCCTCAGGAGAGATTTTTTTTTTTGAAACAGGGTCTTGCTCTGTTGCCCAGACTGGAGAGCAGTGGCACAATCATAGCTCACTTGCACCCTCGACCTCCTGGGCTCAGGCAATGCTCCTACCTGAGGCCATTCTCCTACCTCAGCCTCCTGAGTAGCTGGGACTACGGGCGTGCACCACCACACTAGGATAATTGTTTTACTTTTTGTGGAGACAGGATCTCACTATATTGTCCAGTAGTCCCAAATCCGTTGGCTCTCCTCTCACCTCAGCCTCCCAAAGTATTGGGATTACAGGCATGAGCCACCACACCCAGCAGGAAAAACTTTAAAATTAACTTTTAGGTGAAAAGTCTCTTCCCCACTAAATACTGCATAAAAACGGCAAGATTCTCTACTGAATATTAACGTGACCAGAGCAAGCAAAGGAAAAGACTATAAAGGTCTGAAATTGAAATATGTGGCCCACTATTCCAAATAAGTAAATGCTCCTCCACCCTAGTGCACCAGATGGCTTAGGGCAAGCCACAGAGATCAGCCCCTTAGTTCCTCCCACCAGGCAGAGTCCCTGCCTTTGCTCACTTTCTTCTCTGAGTTTTCAGAGCTCCCTGTCCTGCTTCGCCTGTGTGAGGTTTCCTCGTCCCTGAAGCCCCCATAGCTCACATCCTACTTTTTTCTGAAAACTTCGTACAGCCTGCCTGCCCTCTGGGTCAGCTGGAGCTCATCTCTGCTTCTCAGGTTCCCAGTTCCTTGTATGCTGTGACAGCACACACCACCCACTCCTGATATTGCTTCGCACGGTTGGTACACACTTGTCTGTCTCCATCGTTGGACTTAAGTTTTGGAAAGGAAGAGACGCTATTTGTCATCATTCCCATGACCCTTACATGGGTTAGACATCCAATACATTTTTCTGAAGTTTAAATGAGTTGAAGAAGGATGACAATTTTCCTATTCAGATGTGTATCTCGACCACTGATTATTGGAATGGACTGTAGTGTGAAAGTGGCAGTGACTTAATCAGTGTGGTCAGTGACTCTGAACCTTGGAGCCATGGATATTTGGGCTGGATAATTCTTGGTTGTGGGGGCTGTCCTGTGCTCTGCTGGAGATTGAGCAGCGTCCTTGGCCTCTTTCCAATGGGTGGTAATAGCACTCCTCCTCCTCCTCCTCCTCCTTCTCATCTTCCTTCCAAGTTATGATACTCAAAACATTGGCAGTATCTCCAGTCATTGAAAATGTCTCCTGAACTCCTCCTGATTGAGAACCACTGATGCAGGTGATTCCCAAAGGAGGCTGAGAGGAAGCACCAGACATGATGCTCAGTGATGACTGATAGTGTTCTTACTCCTAGAGTCACCGTTATTGTAATACAATAGTGGACAGGAGCCACATACACCTCTGGCCAAATTTTTCTCCATGACAGGCTATCACAGTGTCTGCTAGTCAAACGCTGGAATTTTCTTTTTCTTTTTTTCTTTTTTGAGATGATATCTCACTTTGTAGCCCAGGCAGGAGTGCAATGGCGTGATCTTGGCTCACTACAACCTCTGCTTCCTGGGTTCAAGTAATTCTCCTGCCTCAGCCTCCTGAGTAGCTGGGACTACAGGCATGCATCACCACGCCCAGTTAACTTTTGTATTTTTATTAGAGATGGGGTTCATCATGTTGGTCTGGCTGGTCCTGAACTCCTGTCCTCAAGAGAACCACCCATTGCAGACTTCCAAAGTGCTGGGATTACAGGCATAAGCCACCATGCCCAGCCCAAATGCTAGAATTTTCTTAAAGGAGGTGGGGAAGGAAGTAACTGGATAAGGCCTCATTGCCTTTGAAATATAAATACCTTTGTTTGAGAGGTTGTGGTCTTAGAGCACAGCAGCTACAAACAGGTGCCTGGGGTCATGCTGGGAAACCACAAGGGCAAAAAGTAACACAACAACCACAACAGCTGATTTGAGAGACATATTTTTCCTTAGAAGGTATGGAGGAACATCACTGCTTGAAATAGTCACACATATAAATTCAAGGGAGGTGCACACCTATTTGGCAGAAACTCTGGGGCTGTGGTTAGAGATGATTTGAATATTTTGAGTGTGCAGGCAGGTGATCTCCATGTATCCTTACCTTGGCTTCCTCAGACTGGGGCTGTCAGCTACAGAGCAGCCCACAGGCAGGCAGAGCTGTGATGAAGCACATTTGTTCAAACACAGCAAATGGTGTTTGAAAAAAAAAACACCACCGTTGCTTTTTTATGAAGCTATTAGCTATTACACTCTGTCATGTCAGGGAGCTGAGCCCAAGTGATGCCCAAGTGGCCATGATAGACTCACGCTACAGGGCCTGGGAGAGCAATGGGATTGTTTTTTTTTTCTCCCTCACTGAGGCAGTAAAAGATTGATTTTTGAGGCAGTGACTGAGGCATTATGTGTTAATGACTATGCAGGGATTTTCATTCACATATCATGCACTGATGGCAGAAACCGAAGCTGCCGTGGAAGGTGCTGGCTCGGTGCCCTTCCATGGCTCTTTTCTCATCACGTCATTTGCCTGCTGAGATGCCGGGGCCTTCCGAGTTATAGGGTCGGTTGAGTAAAGGGCCCACGGTTTGGTGCAGAGCATCTTGGGCCAACACACGAGAATAACTGATGCAGCTGCTGAGATGAGAAGGTCTGCTGCAACGCTAATAACTCCACCTGGCTGCTCTCACATTCGACTTCTTGTATTCAGATTTGGAGAGACAGCTGGGAGCCTCTGATGAGAAAATAAAAAATTTGCAGCAACAAGCAAGCTGTCCTCTGACACCAGGAGAGGAACTCACTTCAGCCCTGGCAAGAATTGCAGCCGGACTTTGTGGGGCACTGTTTCATCAGGTGCCAAATGTCGTAGCAAAGGCGAGAATGACAAGAATTATAGTTTCTGCCCTGATGCACAGGTACTGATGGAAGAGCTATTTCTGTGTTGATTTTGCACTTCTCAGGGCAAACCTGCAAAACAGATATCAAAGGAGATGTGGGTGCTGGGCAAGGAGCCACACCAAGCAACCATATAGAGCAGTCTGGAGGGGTCTCCCCATCTCCAACCCTCAGTTTTTCCCACCTGTTAAACACAGGCCACAATGTCTGTGGCAGCCACCTCACAGTGCAGTTAAAAGAACCAGTTTAAACAGTGCCTCTTAGCTTAGAATCAATGGCAGCACAGGTTGTGGAGGGGATGTAAAATCCTGAAATCTGCATGAAGCAGTTTGTCTATATATATCTATGTACATCTTCCTGAGGAGAGGTTTGTAGCTTTCACTATATTCTTAAGAATATAGTTACTCTTAAGAGGTTAAGGACCACTGTTCTAGGTAATGTGTAAGAGTGATGTGTGTTCATAACTAAGCTATTCTTAGCAAATGTTTTTGAGGAGAAAGGGACACAAGAGCACATACTGTGTGTTAGGGACTATGTAGGACACATGGAAAATAGAAAAAAATGACCCTTGGCCTTCTGGAGCATATGATAGATTTTAGACATGAGGCCAAAACAGATCAAAAGTTAAAAGAATAAGTTAAGTATAGGCAACACAGGTGAAAGGTCAGAAGAATGCAAGTGCTCCATAGAAGGAGAGAAATGGACATCCTGGTGCAGTAGGTTTAGGGATGGGTATAGAGCAAGGGTGGGATAGCATAAGGGATAGGCAGACAAGAGCATCTGAGGGAGAGGGGTGGCCGGCGCAGCAGAGCTTGCATGCTGAATTGACACACTCCACACCAGAGACCCTTAGATTGGG